GACCTGCGATGACCCAACACTTTCTTGTGGATGAGCCGGTTTTCTCCTACAGATTACTAGAAGAAAACCAACTCACAACAACTTCGTCGTAATTAAAACTTCACCTGCTAAGGTGCTATTACTTTCAAAGTGTTGGAAATTTTAAACTGTCCTGAAAGAAAAAATGTTTTTCTAAAATTTATGTGGGAAAAGCAGGGTTTGGAGAAATGATGGTCACAAAAGAAAACCCAAGTACTGGCAGCTACAGTCATTAAATTTTAGTTCTTAAACAATTCTGAAGAACATTTATAATAACACTTATAAAATTTGCAAAGGAAATCACTGATCCAGTATCCATTTTGACCAGTAAAACGCAGAAGAGGAGACAAACACTTGCCAGCCACGCCCAGCCCCTGATCTGCCCCAGCCTGGCTTTGTTCTTGGATGGATTCTAACATTAAAGACACCGGACAGGAGGCGTTTAACTGCCTGGTAGGGTGGTGGTGGTGGAGGAATGGGCAGGCTAGGTCTGTTTTCACCACACAGGTGACACTAGGTGGACACAACACTAACCCGGCCTGTTCCCCAGAGCCCGAGACGCCAAGCCTTGGGCACCTGGGCTGCAATGCCCCACGTCGCCAGGTGGGACACTTTCTCACCTCAAGAGGGGACACTGCAGGGATCCTGAGAGGGAGGAGGTGTTGGGGAGGAAGACAGTGTCCTCCCTGCTCCCTAGCTGTGCCCTCCTGCCGAGAGTCCCCACTGAGCAGCCCAGTCTCCAACCTAAGGAGCTGTCTCTTTCCCTGTCCACATCCACAGATCGCTGTATTTTCTGGGGTTATGGCTGAGACTGAGCAAAGAGCTGCACCCTGCCATTTCCTGAATCAGGTCACAGATCATAGTCCTACCACCCACCACGGCTGAAGAGCGGGTGAACCTGCATTGTGAAGTGCATGCGAAGACCCCCAGGCCCCAGGGTGCATGGCCAGACTCAAGCTGGGTCTCCATGGTGTGTGGGTGGCGGGAGGAAGGCTCACTTGTCCCCACTGTCAGCTCCACCTGGCAGGACATGGACTCTGGGCTCGGGGTAACAATGGCCCACAGCATCTGACACATACTGCCCCACACCCACACCTCGCCAGTCCCTGGTGTCTCAGGGACAGCGGCCCTGGGTAATCACAGCGTGTGCTTGGCAGGCCCCACATAACACTCACCTGCCCGACATCCACAGCGGTCCCACCTGCAATGCCAACCCGGCTCTGCACAGCGAGGACAGGGTGGTGGCACTCGACATCACCAGGCACTGCTGGGAAGTGGCTGTCCGCACCTGAACCCTGGCAGCACAGCAGGCGACACCAGGGCATTTGTGGGCAGCCACCGTTCATCTGCAGGCAGGACCCCTGCACCTCTGCCTCCTGCACACCGCGACCCCACACAGCAGCCAACTGCCCAGCTGCACCAGGAAACTAACACATACAAACCGAAACATCACAACTACTCTACACCCAACACAGAATTAAAGTGCACGCACAGTCCTCAGAGTGTTTACAGGAAACATGTGTGTGGTGGGCTGACTGATGGTCAACTTATAATGCTCAGCTGAACTGAATCGGCGGGGTTGGGCATGGAGGACCCACCTGAGGAGTGTTGCCAATAGCCGTAAAGAGAACTGGAAGGGAAGATCGTGGCTTGCTGATTTTCTAAAGCTGGCTGTGGCTGGTTTTCTTGGTACAAACTTGGCTGTTCTTATTGGAGGAGGAGCTCGGGGCCTCACTGTCTCTGGGAGTGGCTGCTGTTCTCCTTAGGGGAGCCTTGATCTTCACCATGAGCATCACTTCCTAGCTGCAGTGCAGATCCCTCAGCCTGATGACAGACCCTTCACCCCACCAGCACAGGTTTTCTGGCTTCCACCACTGGCCTTTGGATCTTGCAGGTGCAGATCCTCGATACAGACAAGCATGAGACATTGCCGTGGGCAATGGAGGACACTGCCTTGGGCTCTAGGCCTGTAGCTGGACTTGTGTAGGACACTGCTACGGGATCCAGCCCTTGGCTGGATTCTCTGAGCCTCTAGTGTACAGTTCATCTCTTGCACTCCTCCGTATTTGATTTTTGGGTAAATATCATAATCCTATAAACGGTGTCCTGTATTAAACGTATTCCCTTGCCAAAACTTTGGCTACAACATTATGTTACTAGCTTATTACGTCACTGGTGTTCCGATAATCCTGAAGCCCACTTTGTGGTCCACATCACAGCCTCTGTTCCTGAGGATATAAGGAGTAAATTCTGTATTTCCTCCAGGAAGTGGAAGCAGACTCCATAACCAACCTGCATTCCTGTACTGCCAACAGCCCCTGCCGTGTCTCCGCCGTCCCCATCAGCAGTGTGCACTGTATTTCATCCACCGCTCTGTTCACATCTGCTGGCGGGGGTCTGGGCTCAGCCTCCCTACACAGGTGCTGGAACAGCAAACTGCACCACGTTTGCTAAGCGAGCAGTACGAATCCAGGTGCCCGGCTCTGCACATGAAGTTGCCAGCCCTGCAGGAGGACCCAGGCCTGGGTGCCTGTCTCTGATCCACACTGTACCTGCCCAGACGGGACTCACAAACCATGGAGGCTCCCTCCACGGGGCCTGGTAAGCTGGCTGTGAGGCTTCCTGTGTAGCCTGGCCCCCCCGGGTGGCCTTGAAGGGCCTAGAACCCACTCTGCTTGCCACACAGGACACAGCACAACACATGTTCCGGGGCAGCAGAGACACCGGCATGGGACACCAGGGTCTCTATGTGGCACCGGTGAGAAGGCTGCTCTCACACATCCCTCACACAACCACTCACAGATCACCGTGGCCTGTGGCCTCCAACCTTCCAGTCCTGCTGCTGACAGAATCTTCCATGAGCAAACCAAGAGCAAAGGATAGGCTGGGTCTTCCTGAGTGCACTCACACCCACCCTTCCAGCTTGACCTCCTACCACACCAAGCCAAGGTGCCAGGGCCCAGCCCTGGGAGATGGTCAGTTTAGGTCCTTACAAATCAAGGCAGGGTTCTGTCCACTAGAGCTCTGCATGGCGGGAGATACGGAGGTGTTCACAAATTGCTGTGATATACACTGTCCACAAAGTATGACCTTTTTCATTCATTACTACTGATAATTTAGCAACAATGCCACAAAGCTGAACCCACTATAGCAGACCAAGAATAACATCCTATCCCTTCTTTAAATACTCCAGGGACAAAACTGCATATAAATAAATGCATTAAAATTCTACACAATTACAGAATACGTTCACCAAGGGGCTTGGCCGGCTATTTTTACTGTGGCTCTGGGAAAAAATATAATTCCTCAAGTGAAAAACTAGAGCACTGTGAGTCCTTGCTTGGCAGGTGACAGGGCTGGATTTATGCAATGCACAGGACTTCATGACTCAGGCTGCAGGTTCCCAGCTCTGCGCCCCAATGCCTACACCATGCTGACCTCCCTGCTCTCTGCACTGCATCTGAGTGGGGACAGTGGTGTCACATAGAAGCTGTGTCCATCAGCAGACTGAGCTGTCACACAACAGGACACAGGCAAAATCAGATAATGTCCCAACAAGAATCGCACTCTGCACAGCTAGGAAAAGTCATAGAAGATTTCACTGCTTGAACCTGAGATAGCCACGGCTGCAGAAAATCCCACCAAAGCAGAAAGTCAGATGGCAGAGCCAGCTCCATCCTGTCCCAGCGAAGGAGCAGCAGTCCTGACCGACCCAGAGACTAAGGGACAAGCAGCTTGGCGGGCAGGGCGTGGTGTGTACAGAGGTTGGGCAGGGCTTGGTTGTATAGAGGGCAGACAGGGCATGAGCCGTGTGCAGGAAGCCTCATCAAAGTGTAGACCTGAGCCACCTGCTGCTCAGCCTCAGCCTGGGTATGGTGTCCCAAGCAAGTCACAGACATGGAAACATGGGACTGGCCATATCACTGGCCATGCGACGTAGCTCGGGCCGGCTATCACTGTCCCTGATGAGGGCTGCTACCAGCCAGCTATGGATGATGCACAGCCAGAAGGTGGCAGTGGCAGCAAGGCCCCATGGGGAAGCCATAGCTTGCAGGCAAGGCCTGCACTGCTAGTTGGACCTGGCTCACAACAATCCACCAACAAGTACAGAGCTCATTCTTGCTGCTCTTTGAGGCAAGGAAGCTTCACGAGAATTCTTCATATTGCAATTGAACTCCTGTAAGTACACCACACGGCTGCAAGCCATGGAGGAGGACATGGGTCTGATGTGGTCCGAGTCTCCAGCTCCCAGTCGTGAGGTCTTGTTGATGAAAGTAGGGATTTCTTGGGGCAGGGATTTAGCTCAGTGGTTCTGCCACCTGCCTCGCAAGCAAAAGGTCCCAAGTTTGATCCCCAGTACCAAAAACAAAAAAACAAAACAAAAGTAGGGATATCCTTTCTCTCACACAAACCCAGATATGGAAATTAAGGGCACTACACATATGCGGGCATAGTGGGTATTTGGCTGCTGTGTGTCTCGCTAAAACCCCAGCAACAGAAAGCTGTGTGGTGCATGAGCCCGGTGACATTGGCAGATGGGTCTGCAGTCAGAGACACCCTGGGAGCAGCTGAGCTGTGCTTTGGGTCCCACATACCAGTTCCAAAGCAACAGCTTCCTAGGAGTCCCTCACCATTCCCGACAGCCTCCGCACACTGCTTAATTACACCTGTTTCCTCAAAGGAAAAGGACTGGAGTTGCCTGAGACACATAAAGCACTGAATTGATTCCAACATGGGACAAGAACAAAATAACTGAAATCCTGGAATTTACAATAGTTTCAATGGAACTTAGGGTCCTCAAGTTTCCCACATGTTCTCTGCCAAATGTCTTCTTAGTTATGTGCTTCTTTGCTTCAAGGGAGTCCAGTAGCTGCTCCTCCTTGAGCGGGGGGCAGTTGGCCTTGCCTCTCAAGGATGGCCTCATGGCTCTCAGCTTCTCACAAACACAGACAACGACACGACACTCAGAGAAGGTTCCATACCTTTGAACAGGGTCAGTCCATGCAAGCTCCCTTTGATTTTGGTCAGCTTCAGTTCCATGGGGTTGACCCGACCTCCTTTCTACATATGTCCTTTGGGGAATGGGAAGGAAACTTCCCACTAAAGTGATCCCTAAAGTGATCAACACACAAGAAAATAAATGGTACAGTTGTTGGCTGGACAGTCAGGAGCAGAAGCTCTAAGGGGTTTGAGTGACACTGAGCACAGGTGTCTGTGTGGCATTATGTCCACAGCCCCTGTAGTGATGCAGGAAGAAGAAAGCACAAGGGTCTGTGCTCTAAGCAGCACGCTGCACAGGAGGTGATATGCAGAGCCAGTGTACAACTATCACTGCCCAAGTCACCAGAAGGAGCAATTTCTATTTCAGATGCCACTTGTGCACACCCTGAAACATGCAAGTGTGACTAAACTAACAATCCAAAATTATTGAGGGTGCAGATAATTTTCAAATTACTGAAGGTACTTGCTAATGGTAAGCCAGACACAGACAAAGTCAGCATTCTCGAACACTGGAAAACACAACACTTTATCTAACACCTACTGCACTTTGAGGAAGACGGTGGGTTGTACAGATGTATACATACACACACATGCACACAAATGCAGAGATGCACATGCATGCAAACAGGTGTGCATACACATACACACAGATGTGCAAGACACAGATATACACACGCACAGTGGAAACACAGGTGCACACACAGGTGTGTACACATGGATATATGCCTGCACTACAGATGCACATGGGTACACAGGGGTGCACACATACAGATGCACAGCTATACACGTGCACACAAGATGTACATGACACACACAAGGATTCATGTGCACACTCATACATACACAGGTGTGCATGCACACACAGAGAAGTATGTCTATGCAGAGCAAGGGGCCTGCTTCTCCTCTCAGTGTAATGCAGCATGATGATGCCAATTTTTACTTTTTTTAAAAAATTCAAGAACTCAGGCATTAGCCACAGAGGAACTATGCAGTTTGGTCGCGAACTATAAACTGGCTCAAGTCTATTGCCCAAGGAAGTGGCAGGACACCTGTGGGCTGCACGCTGCACTCTGCACACTGACCTTGGGCAGCAGAGAGCCCGTCTCTCTGGTGCCTGTTGTCCCTACTGACCCAGAGTCTCCTCCTGCAAAGACCAGAAGTTGTCAAGGAAGAAGAGTGCTCCTGAGCCAGGGAGCACCCAGACTCCCCTGGGAAGATGCCATGCTGGGTTCTGCTCTGTGGTGTGCACCCCTTATCCTAGCCAGACGTGAGGGATCCAAAGGCTGTGTGACTGCTGTTCTGAGAGCAGGCTGGCAGCTGACCCTGTTGTGTTGCTACCTGTTTCTTAAAAATCTATTACTTTTAGACCTTCATAAAAATCATTCTTGTTAAGGACATTTGCCAAGGAGGAAGTGCAACTGAAAAGAACTCACGATACACACTGCACATTGCCCAGCTGGCTGGAGACGAGGCCCATGCAGCCCCTGAGGGGCCCCTGAAAGTTGGTGCCAAATAAGGACAGCCCAGGTCTTGGGGGATGAGTGCTTGGACCTCAGAGGGCTAGACCAAGGGGGCAGTTGTGCTTCCCCATGGCCTGGGCCCTGAGACTTGGCCTCCCACCTCTGCAGAGGAAGGTGTGCTCCAGCCACAGAGGGGCGCCTGGCCAGCTGTCCCACTCCGTGCAGTCCACAGGGTGACCTGTGACTCTGAGCTGTTCCCTCCTCTTCAGAGGACGCCTGCCAGAGCCAGCATCCTGCTCACCTCTGACATCACGAGTGCCCAGCAAGTGCCCTTCACAGTGGCGCCCGGGACACCTTTGTGGCCAGGTGCTCCACACAGAGGAAGCTTATTTTGCAAACCTAAAAGCCCAGGAGGACTGAGGCTGCCCCAAAGACTGCCATGCACACAACGCTGTGAACACCAGCTCCCTGGGGGCCAGACTGGATGGATCACAGAGACCTGTGCTATGGGACATGAGCCAAGGGGACGGGCGAGGAGGAGATGGAGAGCTTGGAGCCTCGTGCAGACGGCAGGCTATGGGAGCAGCCCCCGGTGCTTCCTGGGGCCATCACCACACTGGACAGACTGAGGTGCTGTCCACTCCCACAGCCCCACAGCGCTCAGGGTGGACATCAGGCACAAACCAAGACCATGTGCTGATCTGGGAGGACCCTGTGGAGGTCGCTGCTGGTGCTGACTCGGTGCAGTGTTGAAAGGCCGTGCTGGGACCTGGCCACCTCATCTCCCAGTGGTCTCGTAGCTCTGCTGTGTACTCACCCACCCGTGGCCCTGCACCAGTCACAGCAGTGCTTGACTCCCTGGAATCCCCTGTGGTCAAGGGGAGAAGGCACAGTGTGGGGACACAAAGTGCCAGCCAGGACCGTCGTGGCTGGATGCCCTCCGTGGGCCGTGTCCAGAATACCAGCTATAGCCACGTCCCGCTGAGCACCCAGCCACACAAGCTCTATCATCCACAGAGCACCGTCTACTCTGAGCAGCACCTGGCGTGGGGAGACGAAACTGTGGGGCTGGGCACTGGGCTGAGTCAGCTGCTCCCTGTGGGGATGTGGTGAGGCCCCGAAGGCCGTGGCCAACTTGAGGGTCTGGCGGGCAGGGGGCTCCATGAAGGCAGCAGAGTGAAGCCCACTACGTGCTTGCCTAGTGGGGAGGTAGAGGAGGCAGAGGAGGAGGAGGAACAGGAAGAAGAGGAGGGAGAAGGGGAGAGGAGGAAGAGAGTGGGGAAAGGAGGAGGGCAGGGGAAGGGGTAGGAAAGGTAGCGGAGGTGGGAGGGGGGGAAGAGAGGGACAGGCGCACAGGACACCCCTGCACAGCCACTGTAAGAAGCGGTGCAGACCGAAGGCCTGTGGGTGGGGACAGGGGCTGCCCAAGGGCCCGGAGTCCAGCACAGAAGCTTTCCCAACCCCTCCATCAAAATGCAGAGTGCTTGGTGGGCAGCAGGGTAAGGGGCAGAGTAGTATGTGTGGAGCCGGCAGCAGAGCCGGGTGTGTGTCTGAGGGCACCTACAGCCTGGGTTCTGGAGCTGACACCTTCAGCCTAGAGCCAGCTTTCTCCAGGCTGGGTGGGAGGGGCATGGTGTCAGGACCCCCACCTTGAGCTATGATGAGAACGGGCCACAGATGAGGCCACAGAGAGAGAGGAGAGAGCTGAGCACGGGTGTGCCAATCCCCACCGAGAAGGAACACACCCAGCGGCTTGTCTCTGCATGCGTGACCGGACCCAGGGTGTATTACCACACAGCCACACCCAAGTCTGGGGACAGGGCTTCACTGTATCACTAAAACGCCCAGGCAGGGATCAAACATGTGATCCTCCTGCCTCAGCCTCTGGGACCACAGGTGTGCACCACCACGCCTGGCTCATGAGACAAGTTTTCAAAGGGGAGAGATGGCCCACAGAGCTTCAGGGATGGAGCCCTGGAATTCTGGTGCCCAAGGATCACAGGTGACACAAAGAAGACTGATCCAGGGGAGTGACTCCAGGGAGCTGCACAGGCAGGCGAAGAGGAGCAGGCCAGGAGCCAGGGCGTCTTCCGCCTGCCTGTGGCCTCTGCATGCTTGGCTCCATGGGGTTCAGTGTGATGTCCCACAGTCCCCTGCTCTGGGTGCCTTCTGTACCACTCGTGCCTACAGAGCTGGGCTGCAACCCACACGGATTGCACGGCCAGGGAGACAGAGACACTACGGACCCTGGGGTCGCTTTGTCCTGGGAGGGGCCGCACTCCTTCCCCAGAGAGCATACGGCCAAGTTCTCAAGGACTGAACCAGCTCAGCGTTGCAACCAGACTGAAAACGAAATCTTGGGAATGCACGATGAGATTAATTATATTAAAAATTATGTTAAAATCAAAATTAGGGGGCAGCACATGCATCACGCCCTGGTGACCCTGTGCTGGAGCCTCTGTCTCCTGTCATGCACTTCCTGTCCCGGCTCACCGCCTCCCTCCCCTGGACTGTGGCCCAGGACACGGTGGCTGACAGTGTTTACATGGGGACAGCCACAGTGGCAAGCAGTTCTGAGTCTGCTCTTCCTTCCCCAGCCAGTGGCTCCCCAGCATCCTCCCACCTCCAAATGTCCAGAAGTCTCCGAATGACAGAAACCTGAGGAGGCCACAGAGACTTGCACCTGGAAACAGCTTACAGTGTCAGTCCCCACAGTCTGAGCTGATGCCCGGGTTTCCACCATTCACTCTGAGACTCCCACCCACTTCAAGTCCTTGGCAGGGTCCGCTCCTGTGGGAGCACCACAGTGGCCTCCTCCCCGCCCTTCGCTCACCGCTGCCTAGCGACTGAGGCTGGACCTGGGGGATGGGGTGGTTGCCTAGCAACCTGCCTACACTGCCTCACACATCCCTACCTTAAATATCCTGCTGCAGGGGAAGCATTTTTGGAAAGTTCTGCTGAGCATTTTTAGAATGACTTCCTGAGGTTGCCAGATGGTGGCACGGGCTGCAGGGAGCAGGTTGGGTCCCAGCTGCAGCTGCCTGCCCTGGCGATATTCAGGGAGCAGAGGGACCTTCTCAAAGCTGTGTCCCCCACCTCAGAGTGGGTGACAGGTGGCTCGGACAGAGTCCCCATCCATGCCGTAGGCACGTCCTCCTGGGCACGTGTGTCAGTGTGTGCCACAGTGCACTAGGTAGGACAGACACTCAGGGACCTGAGGACAAGGGGCCCTGCCCCAGACACCAGGGAGCAGATAGAGTGATCAAGGGCCCATGCCAGCTCTGACTGCAGATGAGGTCACTGGGGCATCCTGGGTCAGGTGCCCTGGCTCAGGGTGGAATAGATCCGGGGACTCAGCTGGCTGGAGAGCGGAAGCACGGGGTCCTGAGTGGGGAAGCCGCAAGTTGAGGGCAGGACACAACAGCCCAGAGTGGCTGCTCAGGAGAGCCCAGGGAAGGAACACTCGGCTGGCCCAGTCCACTGTGGGTACCAACTGGACCATCTCAGTGGCAAAATTATCCCAGATGTAATTACGGTGTCCTCCTCCCTCCTCTTAGCAGAGAGGCTGGGGACTCGGGAAGGCTGGAGTGCTGGCTGGCCGAGGCAGAGTACCTGCCTGGCATATGCGAGCCTCTGGCTCCCACCTCCTGC